AAGGAGCTGTGCAGGGGTGGGAGGGACTGCTAGGCTGTGTTCTTGAGGTGAGTGTTTTTAGATGTGATGCATTTTGTGGGAAGGAAATCACTACTTTATGTATATGGCTTCTAAACCCTTCAGCCCAGCTGAATACTTTAAAAAATTATTTATGTTTTTTAAATTCAGGGGATACATGTGCAGTTTTCTTACACAGCCAGTGGAATACGTCTAAAGAATTTAAATTTCTGGTCAAATAATGCTCTGACCAGTTTGGCAGACTTTTTTTTTTTTTTTCTCCTATCCATAGAGTCCTAAAGTAGCAAGCTTGATTTGAAAATAAATTATTAGTAAACATTTGAAAATGTGAAACAAATTACTCCCCAAACACTTAGCTCCTTCTTTCAAATACACACTTGAAAAATGCTAAGAATCTATTCTGCGAGAATGCTTGAATCTCTCCCTAAATCATAACACGGGTAAACTTACCGAAATATTTTTACAATTTTATTAGAGGTTTTAATTCACTGCTTTATCTATCTCTGTTAGACTGCAAAATAGCTTTAAATATTCAAGTGGTAATTAATGAATCTTTTATGTTGCAAATCAAACATTTTTCATCTGTGCACTGGTGGAGTAGCGGTGAGGAAGGATTTAAAGTCATTGTTCCCCCCTCTTCCACACTGGTGACCAGCATCTACGTTATGTTTTGGGGAAAGTGGGCTTGTGTTCCCTACCCAGAGGGGCAAATGCTCAGTGTGGATGATGTCTGCTGTCTTTCGGGAGGTCAGGATTTCTTGACATGTTTCTTGCCAGAGACATTCCCGAGTAGATGGAAAGTCTTTGAATGTGGAATTTTTGCTTGAGTGCAAAATAATAAAAAGCATGTGTATGTTTAAAAAAAAAAAAAAAAAAAAAGGATCAGCTTAATGGCAAAAGAGCATTGGCTTACATTAATATTCTATTACAGTAAAAACTTCTATTTAATAAATTTTCTCCAGACTTTTTTCCTCCAGAATCTCACATATTTTTCTAAGTGGCATGCCAACCTAAAGTATATATGATACATTTGATTTATGTTAAGTCAATAGTGTGCAAAAGCCATTTAAAATTGTATTTTAAGTGTAGAAATATAAACCCAAGGAAACACGTATAGTATCCTATATTGAAAAGGGGAAAAAGGGTTAGCTTTTCAGGGGCTGAAATGCCTTGTAAATATTATTCTATTTAGAAGATATTTTTAAAATGCGGCGTTTTACGTCAAATAGTAAGAAAGCAAGTCTGAAATCCTGCAATTTAGTTTAAAACCCAAAATCAAGCTGGTATTAAAGACTTCACATAAGAAAATAGTTTTCCTTTTCTCTCTCTGTCACTAATGAGAAATGAGCCAGTGAAAGCAGCCCTTGAGAACTTTCACAAAGGACTGACAAATTCTTGATTGGATGCCATATCGGCCACCCTGTGCTGTTCTATGGCCCTAATTAATACTGGGCTTGGTGACATTTATGTATCAGAGCAATAAGCTAAACAGGAAACAATTTATGTCACCTAAAGCTTTTTAACAAATCGATGCAACTATTTGTAATTGCTTGTTTCACAAGATTAAAAGTGCTAAGGCCTGATCTTCGCCCACGGATTTGTGGTCAACATGACCTGTGCTTCCGTTGTTTAAAAAAAAAAAAAAAGAAAGAAAGAGTTGGTGATCAGCACCGACTTCCATCAAGTAATCCATATTGCTAATATTTCTGGAATTTTAATGTAGTTACAATTTATAGCCGATCAAATGTGGTTACCTAAATTGCTGTTGCTAGTAGACAGTTTAACTGTCTTTATTAATTACAGTATAATTTAATGTTTGAGTACCGGCACTTGTGTTGGTCATTTTTACAGCTCGAGCAGTTATCTTCCTTATGACGAACCATTTTAGCATTTTCAATGGAAATTTGCTAATATGATGAGTGATAAAAATGTCACATGCTGGTAAATAATGATTATTGCTTTGGCTGAAATTAATTCTTGAAAGGCCGGTTACCTTCAAATTAACATTTTAACTTGAAGCTTGTCTTTTTCCCTTCACAATATTTTCAATATAAACCAAAAAAAAAAAAAAAAAAAGGACCGTGGATAATTTCAAATGTGGGTATATAGGTATTTTGGTATTAAGCATTGAATGTCATTTTACAATCAAAGTGGAAATAAGACAACATTGGGTTTTGTTATTTTAAAAAATAAAATACCATTTAAAAATAAATATAAGTAGGTTATATCTAGAGATGGTGTTCTAATCCAAATATTGTCCCACAGTTAAAACCGTGTTTTTGTATGTAACTTAATTTCCCTCCAATGTGAATTTTGTCTTAAACCTTTCATCAGTCAATTCCTTAAATGAAGGTTTGAGACACCCAACTTCACACTATTTGAATAAAGGATACTTTTATTTGATTCAACTACAATGAAGATGAAAGATAAATTGTGATTACTACCCTACACATAAATATGTAATATCATCAAAGAGAAAAATCTAATAAGAAAGACTAATTATACTTTGTTTTTATCTTTTTTGAGGGGGAGGGAGAGGTGGTTACTATTATGAAGCTGCCTGTGTTGGTGTGAAATTAGTCTTAAGAGTTTTATGTTCTTTATATAAAGGCGCCTATTTATAAGAAGAGCCAATATTTTGGGTTTGCTGCCTCGTTTATGAGAGTGACAAGCCTGAAATAAATATGTAAAAGAGTGTTCCTGCTTGAGAACAATTCCTGAAATATAAGTTAAAATGTACTATGCCTCAACCAGCAAAATCTTCACTAACATATAGTCATACTTGGTTTAGGTCCTCCAGTTTATTAAAAGAAGTATCTGTACATTTTTTAATTTTACTAAATGTATATGCTGTAAGCAGTATTTAGCTTTAAGCCTGGTAACAACAGGAATTTGAATGAACCCTAAGATTATAGTCTCAGTAGCCAGGTGAGAATTAAAGGTTCAAATGTTTTGCTAATTATGAGACTATGGGATTTCTAGATAGGGCATCATTGCTAATTCAAAGAGGACACTAGTTTGCAACTTAATAGCAAAATCTACTTGTTAAAAACACACACACAGCCGACACATACACACAACCTTCCTAATACATATGGGCTTTTCAAAACAATGCTGGGAAAGAATGTTCACTTGTATCCTCAGCATCGGTGGGTGTTTTGCAGAATAAAGACTGGGAGGTTAATTTTCAAGTCATCCTTTGCCCTGCATTATGTGCTCTGAATTATATATGTAATGGTTTTATGTTACCATGGTTTGGCCACTTAAAATACTGCTTTCATACTGGCAATTTAATTTTTATTGAAAGATGATGCTCAAATTCATTAATCCCCAGGATATATACTATAGAGTAATATTAAAAAGAAACAGCAAATTTCCTAAATGCATGTAATTATTTTTTTTAAATCTCAAAATTAAGATGGTTTTTCTGGAATATTTAGGTACTGAAGTTCTGTTTTCTTCAATGAATATAATTATCTAGCATACTTTTGATAGAATATTTTTATAAAATCGTTTGTTCTAATCTAAGCATTTATCATTATATGCAAAAAGATTTCTTGATGAGAATATTATAGACGGTGCATGTTTTTGACATTAGCATTTTATTTGGATGACTAATCTTGCAGATGTGAAATTTTAATGAATTATTCATGAAATTTCCTTCCTCTGAAATTTTAGTTTGCTCTTAATGCTAGTTATTAAACATTTTGTTTTTCTTTATACAATTTGATGAAAAAAATAAGGGTGTGCTTCCCCAAGAGAAAAGATAGCATCTCTCGCACTTTTTTTAACTTCCCCATTCTCTAAGTGGATACTTTCACTTGGAAATCCTGAGGGTAAGAGCTTCAGCCTTCCCTGATGATGAAAGCTTTCAGTGAAGATTGATTTTAATTCTGCATTGGAAGCAGCTGGTGATAAACTTAAGGCATATGCCTAACATACATTATCAGCAGGTCAGAAAGGGAAACAAACTTAGGCTGTGGCGACTTTCACTACCAGTGTGAACAACCAGCATTTTTATTGCATTTGAGAATGCTATCATGTCAGTCATTAGTACTGACTACACAACATTTTTTTTATTGTCTGTATCCGCAGACATGGAATGATGGAATTACAGTTGATGTCAAGGAATGAGTTTCTTTTATGCCTTATCAAAACAAAACAAAACAAAAAAATTCTTGTTACTGGCAGCACATATACATGAAGCACCATGCTCACAGTCCAGACTGTATCATCTTCATCAAGGCTTATGGGTAGCAGAGATTGCATGAGCTACATCGGGCCCAAGAAATGCCTTCAGCATTGTAAATCTGATTCTCAGGATAAAAAAGCAAAACTGACTTTGAAGACATCCAGAATCTCAGAAGGCTATGTCATTAACCAAAAGGTACCCTAAAGATTCAAAATCTGAATAAGCACACTCTTCTTTGTGCCTTTGGAAACGGAGCTCAGCTGGAATGTGGAAAAGAGAGGAAATATTTTTCAACTCTGTTTTCTTTTCATGAGGAAAAAAAAAAAAAGCTAGTGATTTACAGCATATCTTGGGTTAAGAATCCAAGGTTTTCTTTACTAGGTCTGACGGGATGCTGGGGATGGTGTTAGAGCTGTCCAAAGGTGGCAGGACTGGCGGTAACTCTTCATGTATGTACATAAGCCTTGATACTCCATTTTGCGGCTGGTCCAAGGTGGCAGCCTTACTCATCTTACAAGACAGACTCTAGGGACAGGTAGGTTGGATCCTCATTCCTGACAGTGCATTTGTCTGACACACGGGACTACCTCCCTAATGTATGCTTTTCTTTGAGAAAAAAAGTAACAAATTTTCTTTACATCTTGGCACCTTGTAAAGTTTTTTTTTTTTTTATACAAAAGTTCAATAGTTTTGACACTCCCCATTGTTAATCACTACTTCACTGATAAACTTGGAAAAGTGTGACCCTGGAATTTCATCATGCAAAATATTTACTGCAGCAGGAGAAAACATTTTTTAAACAACATTTTTTTTTTCTTTTCAAATGTATGAACTTAAGATAGTCAGAAAGGCAGTGGTAGGATAAACACAACGGATAGGAATGTATCAAAAAACAGATTAACACACACGCACACGCGCGCGCGCACACACACACACACACACAAAACCTGTACAAAATGCTCCAATCAATGAGAACAGAAAAAAAAGAAATCTTCAACTATGTTACAATTTAAAAGCAGAAAAAAAAAGTTAGGGAGTTTCTCCCTCCCACATGTCAGGAAATGTCATCCAATATTCTTAAAGCAAGGATAACTAAATAAAATACATGTGCAGCATATTCTGCAATTCCATTACATACAGTAGTTTTTTTTCCAAAGCTATTTTTTTAGTATCGTTAATATAAAGCAGTTGCACAAAAAGCAAAGGTGTTTTGACAAACAGGTGTATGCATTTATTCCTTTTTAGGAACAATATCTAAAAAAAGAACCGCCCTCTGCCCTCCCCCAAAAAAGACAAAGATTCACACAGACACATCGGGATATATGTACAACATAATAAACCCCATCCTAAAGAAGCAACTGGGATAACCCCCAGGGGATACAGAATCGGAATTGTAAAAATCATAGTGAAGTTTGCTTGCTGTAAAGCCTGAGAATTTTTTTTTCAGTTGGTTCTTCTGCAAGGCTGTGATACCTGCAAAGATATGTAAAATCTAATTTTTCTTTTTTTTTTTTTTTGCTACAGTCTTTAGACTAAGCATGCAAGACATACGACTAAGTGCAACTGAGTGAAATGTTTTTTTTTTTTTTTAATTTTAATCATTCCCTAAAGGTTTGAACTGAGGTATGCGTACTAACAGTTTCTCATGCTGTTATCTTTACTCATGTCTAGCTACACATGCTGAGAATGAACTAATCTACCAGATTTTTATCCTCTTTTGAATACCAAACTAACCAGCAACCACTCAGTTTAGAAGCACAGGGCCCCCTTCCCATGACCCTGTCTGGCTACTGCCTGCACATCATGAAGCTGCCTGGAAAAGTTTTTTTTTTTTTTTTTTTTTTTTTTTTTGTTAAAGTCTTGCGTGACCACAGACTGCCCTTTATACAGAAAGCAGAGTGAAGCTTCAAAAGTAACTGCCAGAGAAGTTTTTGTACCAAGCTTATGAGTGGATGGGAGTGTTACTTTTCTTTAAATGAAAAATGCTGACCAAAGCCTAATCGGAAAAAAAGGAAAAATTAAAAAAACAAACTGAAGGATATATGCCAAGATAAACCAAAATTAATACAGTGATCACAGCACAGTTCTTAAACAAAAGTGGCATACAATCTAAAAACATCTTTTCTTCTAGAAATATTATTATGTGATCTAGTTCAATTATGGAAGCTTTTCTGTTCTGACTCTAAACTGTCTCCTTTATTGGATACTCTAAATTGCAGTGGCATACATTCATTTTTTTTTGAGATGGGACTGCCTTCCTTCTGTAGCTCCTTTAATATTGTGTCCTATTTTTATCTGCAGTAGTCCCATAAAATCTCTTTAAGAGAATGAGTTTTGGTCTCTGTAGAGGTACACAAAAAGAAAAAGGAAAAATACTAGAAAAAAGTAACAACTTTGGTTCGATTATCTACTTGGTCTTCTAAATTTACGATGAAGGAGCAGTTCTCTTTCTCAGGTTGCAATAGCCTATCGCTTGTCATTTGCCTCTAAATTCTTTTGCCTCCTTTGATCAACAATAAGAGGATATTTGGCTTCATCAGATAAAGCATAAAACAGAGAACATAATTTACCTTTGTGTAATATCTTTGGTAATTTTAGAAAAAAAGGTACAAAGAATATAAATTAAGCTTCGAAAGGCTCTCAAACTAAAAAAAAACTATAGTCCTATATAAATAAATGACAGGAAAGTGGGTGCAGAGTGGAAGTGTGGAGGGGTTCTAAGGACTGAGGTTGTACTGACCTGTAACCATCACATTCTGCATACCATGTTTGGGACCCCCAAAGCCCAGGGCCTAATGATATCTTCTATGAGTTTCTGTGATACTGGGTTGGTGACATAATATTGCATAACAAACTGCAGTACCAAATTTGCATATTTGAAATTAACACTTTAGCATTTGCTGAACTCAGTCCTCATTAACTCCCTTAACAAGTTCAATCTGAAATCGAATTTGCATTCAAACCGTTTAATGCCACCAAGTAGGTTTGAACTAATGTATAAACTCAGTGCCGCTGCCACCCCTACTTTCAGGGCAGCTGCTCAGGGAAACCGGGGTTTTGGCCATTTTGCAAACAAAACCAACCCACACTCGCTATCACAGAGGGCCCAAGGCCCATGGCAACTTGGTTCCACCAGGGAGAGCCTTCCAAGGCCATATTGTCAGTCTAATTACTATTAGTTTTTTTAAATTTTTTTTCAGTGCTGCCTATGTTTCCTTGTGCTGGTAGAATGTGGTGGCATTTATTAAGAATGATGGTTGCTGCAAAAAAAAAAAAAAAAAAAAAAAATCCAAAACACCCCTCCCCCAGCCACCCCCAATACTGCTGCGTGGAATGAATCGGCATTGTTCCTAGAGTATGTCTCTTTTTTTTTTTTTTTCTGTCATTCATTCTTTTTCTGGCAGGACGTCACGTCTGTGTGAGAGGGCCTTCATGTGTAGAGTGCAGCATTTGGGACCTTTTTGAAAAAGACCAAAACGGAATGTTTTCTGACTTTAGAGAAACATGGTGATGTCTGAAGGAAGATGGAATGAGTGACAGAAAGCTACAAACGAGAAATGACATTCAGCTTTGTATAATAAAAACACCTATGAACATTCATCACAAGGTACAGAAAACTTTAAGCCTCCAAGAGGCCATCGGCCCAAATGGAGGCCTGAGGTCAGAACTTAAAATGGTATAGTAGAAGAAAAAAAAAAAAAAGCAATACATTAAAAAGTTTGGGATAATTATTTTTTTAACCCCTCCCCCCAATACACACACAAAGGTCTTCCCCATCCCAACTGGAAGCAAAAAAAAAAAAAAAAAAAAAAAAAAAAAAAAAAAAAAAAATGGAGTAAAGGCAGTGATAATCAACATGCAGTACTGTGCAAATAGGTCGTCCATTGGAATCCTTAAATTCTGGGCAAAGGCTTGGTCTGCAGCTTAGGTGCACAAGCTCCGTCGGGCGTCCTCAGTGTCCAACGTTGGCAGGACTGCAGTTCAAAGTCTGCTGCTAAAAGTGAATCAGTTTAGCAAATTTACAACACTGATGTTGACGGTTAAGAGAGGAAAATCCCAAGTACCAAACAAGTCCATCCAATGCACAGAGTACAAATTCCTTTTTTCAACAAAAAGTAGAAAAATCAAAAATACTCCCAAATGGGGTTCTTGATGGCACTAAGAGTTAACACATTTCAGAGTTGTCAAAATGTAGTGAAAATCCTCCAGACTGTACAACAAATGGAGAACAATTTCACTGCTAACTTTTGACGTGTTTTGTTTTGTTTTTTCCTTTTTCCAATCTTCACTCTCGGGGTTGGCCCGCCCCGATATTCACTCCATGTCCTCGTTTACTGGTTCATCTTCGTAATCTCTGTCATGGTCAAAATCTGGACTGTGGTTGGCTGTTGTCACTAAGGACAGGGGCCCTTCAGCTTCCTCTGGATCGAGGGGCTCTTCTTTGACATGTACAGGATGCCTGGAATAAATATGCAGAGGTTCAGTGAGGGTACTTCCCAGCCCACTACAGCTCAGGTGCACTGAAAAGTTTGGGGCAACAGAAAAGCCTCACGGTAGAACTAGAACTCTGTCCAGTATTGTCGTCTTTAGCCACACGTGGCTCTTTAAATTGAAATGAACGAAATCTTACTACAACTTAAAATTCAGTTTCTGAGTTGTGTTAGCTGCGTTTGACATGTTCAGAGGCCCCATGTGACTAGCGGTTAATTCTGGCCAGCACAGAGACAGAACATTTGCATCACTGCATAAAGTTCTCTTGGGTAGTGCTGCTCTGAGTCACTAGTCTCTGGACAGGTGCGGGCCTCTCCTCCCTGGTGGCATCTCTCATACGTTGATGCACGCTGCAGTCACCTGTGGGCCTTGTTGAAATGCAGTGTCTGATTCAGGACTGGGGTGGGGCCTGAGACTCTGCATCTCTAACAAGCTCCTAGGTGATGCTGCTGGTCCTAGAACCACACTTTGAGTACCAGATAACAGGTCCCATAGTGGCATCCTGGGTGGATGAATACTGATCTTCAAATAATTACATGAAATAAGAATCTGTGATGCAACGGCAGTTTGTGGGGACCACTGAGCAGAGGAGGCTGGGCTAATCATGGCTTGCTGTGTGTTCTGCTTTGCTAGTTAACATGCAGAACCTGTGAAAGAACTCTCCAGAGGACGACCCGAAGCGAGGTTCTATCATTAATCAACTTCAAGCAAACACAGCAAAGAGACACCATGATACATGCTTGAAACTCCAAATTAATGCATATTTTTACAAACTGTCAATAAGGCAAGAAAAGCCCTGCCAGGAAACACAAATGGAGAGGAAAAGGCTCGCTCAACACAACAATATGATAAGAAAGCAGAGCCCCAATCAGAATAATAACGCTGTCAGCTGTAAACAAGGCAAAACATGAGGCCCGGCTGGTAGCAGCCACTGGGATGCATGTGGTTGCGATGAGATCTGCCAACTTTCTCATTATGGACCAGCGCATGGTTCACCCGAGGGGACTAGGGTGATCACACACAACCACTCGGGTAACAATTGAGAAATGTTGTTCGTAAATCATATTTACAACTGATCCTTTACAAATACAAGTAACTTTCTGTTGCAGGGCCTTTTGATATGTAAAAGAACCCTTCAAGTTAAAACGGTCCCATCTCTGGGACAGGCTGCAGAAGGGAAGATTTTTAAACTGACATTATCAAGTATTAGTAATAAGAGGTGGTAATGGGGATGGTTGGCTTCCTAAATAATTAATGCCGTATGCAAACCCCAAAGGCCCCTTGAACCATTTAAAAACAAACACAGGAGTGTTTTGGACTGCCCTCGAAGACAGGAACCTTCAGAATCAATTGACTCTAAAATCAGCACAGTCTAGAGAGAGCATTTGGTTGGGCTAGATGTTAGATAAATAGCTTTACAAAATAATTCCTTTATTCTTAAAAACTATTTGCAGAACAAAATATAGCAAAGTTGCATTACATTACATTTTATGTATGGCTCTCCATCTATTTTATTCATTATTTATTTACTGAGACAATTGTGCTCTGTCACCCAGGCTGGAGTGCAGTGGCAGGATCTCGGCTCACTGCAACCTCCACTTCCCAAGGCTCAAGCAATTCTTCTGGCTCAGCCTCCCAAGTAGCTGGGATTATAGGGGCCCACCATCACACCTGGCTAACTTTTGTATTTTTAGTAAAGATGAGGTTTCACCATGTTGGTGAGGCTGGTCTTGAATTCCTGACCTCAAGTGATCCACCCCCCTCGGCCTCCCAAAGTGCTAGGATTACAGGTGCGAGACACCATGGCTGGCCGGAAATTTTTATTTAAGAGAAACAGTTGTACATCACTGCAAGGAAGGCTGCATGGGGAGTCACCCTCCCTGCAGTCTGTATTAAGCATTATGGATGGGCATTATTTTTTTAAATGGCCGCATTAGTGTGTCAGCAGTAAGAATTAGGACTGGCTGCATAATTTTGGAAGCCCAGTGCAAAATGACAATCTGGGGTCCTTGGCTCAAAAATTACAATTTCAAGACAGAAATGGCATTAAAACAAGTGCATACCAGGTGTGGTGGTGTGTGCCTGTGGTCCAAGTTATTTGGGAGGCTAAGGTAGGGTGACCACTTGAGCCCAGGAGTTCGAGTCCAGCCTGGGTGATACAGTAAGATCCCCATCCCTAAATACAAAGGTAATGAAAAGAACACATAAAATCAAGTGCAAGTGTCCTTTTAGGCATGAGATCCTGTGTGACTGCATGTCACACTTGTGAACCAGCTTTGCTAGGATACCCTACATTCTTTTAGGAAGAATTAGGTATACTGATTATTCCTTAAACACAAACCCTTAGTTAAGGCCAGTTTTCTTATTTTTTGCCAATCTCTTTCCATTTGGGGTCATATTTTTAAATATTGTAAATTCAGCAGGAATGCTATTTTTTAAATTTTCCTAGCTTTACAATTTATAATGTTTATGGCTAGATGAGATTCCACTGTGTTGACTTATGTCAGTTTCTGAATACTAGGCATTTTAGGATCATCTTTTTTCTTTCTCTTTTACTGTTTGTATAATGCAATGACCATTTTTATCCATTAATCTTTCTACTCTACTTCTGCTGATTTACCTCCTTAGGATAAATTTCTAAGAATGGAATTGTTAGAGCAAAGGCCAAAACATCTTTATGGTTCCTGTGATTTATTGTGATATTAACTTCCAAAAGGGCTATCAATTTAAACTCAATCTCATCAGCAGCAAGCATTATTTGTAAAAAATATTTTGTTGCTTAGCAGGTATAAACAAGGTAAGCTCAGGTTACCTTAAATTGTGTTTCTCAGATTACTGACAATGGTGAACATTTCCTAATGTTTGTTTCAAACTTTCATTGTTGAGAAATTTATGTTTTAGCTATATGCTGACTGAGGTTCACATGTTGTTTTCCAAACCAACATTTTCCTACTTTCTTAACTATCAGATCTATCAATCTTTTCATGTTTACAACCCAGAATTGAATGACAGAAGAATGTAAGATCATATAAGACCGTGGGGAGGGGGAAGGAGGATGGGGACCCCTAGAAGAAATAGAACCATCTCCACCTTAATGAAGTTCTCACTGTATAATTTTAGACTTTGACCAATATTGTGCTAATCTTACCCAAAAAATCAGATACATGTAAAGCCCCACAAAACACAGTTCACATCAGAGAATATTTTGTTTACCCAATTATCCTCATTTGATCATTACACAATGTATACATGTATCAAAATAACACATGTACCCCCAAAATATGTAGTTACGAAGTATCAATTTTAAAAGCTGTAGAAGTAAACAAAAAAACAAAAAAAAAGTTTTCCCCCTAAACTGGCAGCCAAAATTCATGAGGGTTATTTTCTATCCAGAAGACACAGGTAATGATCCTGTCATGCCTGCTGGCTCGACTCCCAGTGCCTCATGCAGAGTTAGACAGTAAGGTTTCGAAACTTTAGAGAAATGAAATCCAATTTCAGGACACTTCTTGGTACTGGCAGATACCCCTGGGGTGTGGCAAAGGTGTAGCACAGGCACACAGTACTTCAAAGTATAAAAAGAGGATGGGATTCCATGGAAGATACACTTGAGATGTGATGCAGACTACTGAAGACACTACACTTCACATACACTCACCGTGTCTCCTAGAAGTTAGGGCTGTGTATGATGCACCTTCCTCTCCTTGCAGACACTGCCCCCACCCTTTCTCTCCAACTCCTACTTCCGAAAGGGCTACCACTGAATAAGTGTGTGCAAAACCACACATTTCCCTTCTCCTTACATCTGAGTAATTCCTTTGTTTAGCCACTCTGGGAACACAAGAGTTTTAAAATAAAGCTGACTGGTGTTTAAAGGCATTGTGTTCTGGGGGTGTCTGCACAGCATGGAGTATTTTGCTTTGTAGCTCCTTTAGTGTCTATCAGGATAAAAGTACAATGCCCCAAAGCCATAATTATATGACCACTTTCTAGTGTTTCAAAGGAGGAATGAAACGTAGTGGTATCTGAGTGTCACAGAAAGGGTAAGAATGAAGAGTTCTGTTTCAACACTCAATATTAGCTAGGCTGCCTTCCTAACAAGGTCCTTCAAGCCGTGCCGTAAAGTTTATGGCTTGATTTATTCCAATAGACTGGAACAGTTGAAAAACAATTTGCATCATAGCAGGGTAATGCATATCGGACAAGAATGGAAACTCTTGTCATTACAGAATTCCCTTAATGGAAATATGAGGTCAAAAAGAGTAACAGTCTATGACACGGATAGCAGGCGCAGGGAATCTGCTGTTGACATATAATTACATTTAGCAAACAGCACAAACCTGTGAGATTTGAGCAACGCATTTTGACATTTTTATGTAGGGTTTCTTGTAAAAAATAGTTGAAACCTTTATTTCATCAAAAATCACAAAGACTATTATAAAACATAGTTTGGGTAATACTGGGGTTAATTCAAATTTGTTAAACAAATTAACCCTGCAGTGACTGTCTTTCGTACAGCAAAATCAGCATCACTCTGAACTGGTGCCTGTGGCTTGCATCCAAATATCTTTCTGTTTTAGTGTTTCTTTATACTAAATAATAGGAATATATGTCAACAAAAACTTGGAGTTCGTACAGATTATGAGAAATAGTATCACTTCAATAACTTCAGACATTTTTGCTCTAATGAGTGTTTCTTGCAGTAGCTTATACCAATTTACGTTTGTTCTGAACTTCGTTAGTATCTAAGTAAATACTCCTGTCATGACAATGATTTAAGATGAATACGAATGTGATAACAAGAGAGGCGGAAACACTAAGTTGCTTTGGAAAGGATGAAATATAGCAGCATCAGTGTGAAAGATAAACACATTCTTAAAATGCTGTGAAGTAAATGCTAAGATACTGTTCATATAAATTAAAAATGATTATTTCCATATCCGCAAAGGATGGTAAAGATCCTTTTTGAAGTGCTGTGGAGATGAAATTCAAATGCTAGAAAATCAAATTTCAGATTTCCCGGTACCCTCCAAATTATGCTGGCAGGTAACACTTTTTTCTTTGTCATTAGATGCCAATTCCGTCTGCTCCTAATTGTTACAGGTCCTATTTTCCATTCCTATCACTCAAATTATCTTAAAATAAGATGTTGGTCAGTAATTCAGAGGTAATGTGTAGACAAGCAGCCTATTCTAGGAACTGACGGTATTGCAAACACGAAATGGGTTAGTACCCTAAAGTAGGCAACAGTTTTGAAGAAACTCACTAAAAGGGAGAGACTGCCATTCCACAGCATTTCCTGCAAAGCCAATCATTTGGAGTAGCGCGGTTTCTTTGCTCTGTTTGAAAACTTTTCCTGGGAGAGAGGGTGTTATAGTTACACCAAGTTTTCTCCCATCACCCACTCACAGGGGCAGCACAGCCTCCTGGTCTCCGCCTTTCCTGCAGTTTGCAGTCCTGGTTCCATTCACATTCAGCATGGGCAACCATCGCCCATCACTTCATTCAGTTATATGTGCACTCATTATACTGCCGTCTGCTGCTATAATGCTCCTATTAATTTTCCTTTTGATATTTTAAGAGCAATCTATAAATCATGCTGCCTTTCATTTGTGCCATCATTAATGGTTGGTAATAATGCTGTGGTGTCGTGTTTGTGGTTATCGCACCACCAAGTAAACAAGCATCTTTTTCTCTCAGCTAGGTCAACATGCCCGAAAGTTGAACAAACTGCAAACTTTTTCATAGGGATGCATATTAATTTGAGGAGGAAAAAGCAGTGTGGCTTAAATAATGGCCTGAGATGTGATAAAGCAGAGGAACAAAAGCAAACCTGTTTCCCATTTTATTGCTGGGAATGGCTTCTATGGGAAAATTAGCAAATAGCCCTTTTATGCACTAACCAAGCTGAATACTTCTTGAAGTACAAACTTCTAGCTTGGTTCTGGGATACCAGAAATTACAGAAAAGGTATATAAAGCCCAGAGAAAGAGACGTCTCCCTGTGTGTACCCAGGGAGACTAGGGTGTGAAAACAAAGACCTTTTGGGTGGACCATACTCACACGGCTTGCATAGGAGATCTGCCTGGACTGCTGTCACTCTCGTTGCTGTTGGTATGCTCCATTGCCCCATTCAGCTCTTCCCGTATTGCGCTGGCTAAGTTGCCCAGAGTGGGATTTCCCATGGAAGCGGTAGTGTATAGAGGTATACTATTCTCAGCCATTGAAGCCTGTCATCAACCAAGAGAAAATGTATGAAGACACAGGGTATGCAAGACGAGGAAACTACTAATTATGGGTGTACTCGATAATCTTCAGTTGGAGTTAATTGTAGCATGGCTGGCAAATACAAGTATCTAAGAGGTGTTGAAAGATTTTGCTTTAAAAATGACTCGTGGCACCTGTCCCAAGCTTGGTTTTGAAGAGCTAACTGGGGGCCGGGGGGATCAAAGTGCCTGTGGGTAGGAGGGACTCAATTTGGTCCTGCTTGGTAGTCACATGGTTTAGACAGGCTTTCGAATATGAGGTTTATGTCGGATGCGTTTTTAAGAGGAGCTGAATATTTCCAGATCACAGTGAAGTATAATGGAATTTTTATTTCTTTATCCATTTTGATGACTCCAGTATTGGATATTAGAGATTTTGATCAGATTATTCTGGCCGTACCGCTCAAACTTATGAGAACTTCCATAAACATTCACCTCTTAGATCCTATAGAAAAGGAAGAGATTATAGAATTGGAATCAATTTTTTATCTCCTCCCATCATTTCTGTGTTAATGATTTCTGAATCTGTTTAGCGCAGTTTGAGATAACTGGCTGAAGGAAACACCACGTAATGTTTCAGAGTCTGACCAACTGCCTAGGATTTTAGGACTAAAGAGCTCTGGCAAAAGGAAGCTCTAAATCATATTTATTTTTGGTGCCTAAGTACATCAATATCAAAGGTTACAAAGTCACTCCACGTTGAGTGTCAGCAAAAAAGTGGGGAAATGAAAAAGAAGAAATCCTAAACTTTATTTAGGATAGGTAGGATATTACTCACTTCCTGTTACACTGCATTTGAATAAAAGGGACACCAAGTCTGAAATGCACACACTGGTTACATATAGAACTGGACTAAAGTACTCATATTCGTTTCATCCGGGTGGTGATTACGACCCATTGACTTTTCATTTTATCAAAGAGGACACTTTCAAAAACTGGCAGCTGTAATTAAACCAAGATGTATCACAACTGTCCTCTTGAAGACTAGACTATGCCTGCTTTTCCATCCTAATGGGAAAAACAGTGCAATCACAAGATGATCTGGCATAGTGACTTCCACTGGCCAGTCATACAACAGTCCAAACTATTCTAGAAATCCTGGGTCTAGAGAGAAAGTAAAAGCCAGAAGAGTGCAAAGCCAGGCTGCAGAAGTCTGTCTGGCTAGTATGACAATCGCAGCCTCACTTGCTATACAAACCCCAAAGCCAGGGCTTTCTAGGTGCAAGCCCAGTGTTAGAAGTCCTGTGCATACTCACCAATCACAGCTTTGGATAACAGACTATTTTAAAGCTTGGCCCTCTGTAAGCCCACAGCTTTTCCTTCCCTCTACTTGTAAATGTGTGTAACTGTCTTCTTTTTAAAAGTAGGGGTACAATCCTGTTTTTATTTTCAAATGCGGTACACTCATTTTGATGAACAGCAAATCTGAACAGTCCACACTCTCCTACAGTGTGTCCAGTAACTTGAATCAAGTACTTTTTCCAACAGCTCTTTTATAATTGCAATAAAGCCTTTTTTCTTTCTTTTTTTTTTTTTTTTTGGCAGAGCAGTTGCCAGAACTATTTTTTTTTTTTTTTTTTTTTTGCCGACTGCAGTTGGACAAGCATCTTAACTGCTTTTATCTGAGACAACAGTGGTCACACCTCTCTGTCACAGAAATTCTGCCAACTGTCTTTCCACTGGAAATACCATAAGATAAGCTCTCACAAGATAATTTCACTATTCCAAGGTCAGAATGTGGCAAAAGTGGGGCTGCTGCTAGCTTAATTGTTTTAGCAACTTCCCTGGTCAAAACTTGTGAAGACAACACTGAAATGCTGATATGAATGTGTTCGTTGGGATGAGTTGGTCATCCTCTAGAGAAGGCAACCTTCTTGGGATGAGTATGTATTCTCTTTGGCTCTCAAAGTATTCTAGGTCAAGGCCATTCCTGATCGGGATTGGATCACAGAACATGGGCTAAGACCCAACCGCCACAGTAGTGAAAGGTGTACAAAGGCAAGCACTTATACTGATCCCTGGGTTCTCAGACAAGAAAGATGGAAGTGGTGAAAATCAGCCTTGTTCCTTGAAAAAATGATCAAATGGGCTGCGGAGAGATCCCAGTGCCTGATTCGCAAGAGGGCTTCTTGAACACACTCTGTTGAGCAAGTGATCAGAGCAACCCACCAAAGGTTAGAGAAATTTTCACTAACTGCTTATGTTTTTTTTTTTTTTTTTTTTTTTTTGGTAGTTGATGTCCACTTAGAAGCAGGTGTGTTACAAAAATGGACTTAATTATAGAAATGGTCCTTGCACAGCATGTGGTTTCATATCAAGCTGGCACCTCTGCCAAAAAATGAAGTTGCTTAAGTAATGGTGCAGAAGTCCATAAGCACCCTCGCTCCTGGAACATTAACCACTCTGAGATCCTCAGGGGAAAGGCAGTCTATAAATACGAAGCTTTACGGTTACCCTTAGTTACTTCACTTTTCAGAGCATAATGCAATCTGTCCCAAGTCCCATGTTTTATTTCTGTAGTGGATTCTGCTGTCCTATTTTATATATTGTATATCATGCATTATGTTGCTCTAGTAATTTTTTTTGAAGATATTGTTCCACTATTATTTTTACTTGTCTTGAAAAATGGAAATAGGCGGTAATGGAAAGGAAGGCCTGCTGGCAGAATCTTTATTTAATTTGCACAGTAGAAAGTTGTCTTATGTGTCTGTCTACTGATCAGGGATCCAAACTCGTGGAAGAGAGGGAAACAATCCACTTCTCAAATCATGAATTTGTATCAATTTATTCCCCTTGCCTCATTATGGACAGAAAGTGTTCTTGGAAAACGGCAGGACAGTTTTGGGCTACTGAAGAAGATGCCAAAAACAAATGTTCAGAGATGAAACCTGAACAGTTCTGTAATGACAAAGCATACTAATTGAAATTAGTCACATAGTTAAGAGAATTCAGAGGATGGAGGATCACTTTTTTTTTTTTTTTTTTTTGCCTTTCCGGCTCATGAATATAAAATGTGCTTGTGATCTTAATACTATTCCAGATAGAGCAGCCTTTAAATTCACACTTCAGAAGACTCCAGGGAAAATAAGTTACTAATGAATGGTATTTACAGTGGCGGCATCGAAGCATGCTTTCATTTACTCTTCTAAAGTTACTGTGTAAACTACAAGTAATTAAAAGAAACGCGGAAAGTAGTTTCTCCTATTAAATCTGGTTCAGGCTAAAAATAAATAAATATAATTACTGAAATGCTAAGGCCAGTGAATCTGCCTCTAAACTGAAACTGGGTAAACGGCCTATCATCAATTCCCAGGAGCCTTAAGACTCTTCTGGGCCTGTAGGGCACAGAGTCGTGCTCAATAAACATCCGTTTAATGCAAAGCAAGGCCCAGGGCTCCTGTCACTATGTCCTCCTTCCTCATCCTGTTTCCATCATGCTAAAGGTCTCAACTGTTTTTTTCATTATTATCCCTTTTTAGGCTTTTGTTTTTCTCTTTGTACCCTCACCCCAAGAAATGTCCATATTTGCTCATGTATTATGGTCCTTTGGAAGGACACAAGACATTGTAGTATCTCAGAACCAATCTGGGGGTGATATAGCCCCCGTTGAGAACGTATGCTACAGACGACTGCAATGGTATTGGATGACAAATGTCAGATTTATCTATAGAATATGCCATTTAAAAGCTATCAAGATTCTCTTGGCCTGTCTTCTAGAACAGTCTGGGTAGGGGAAAAAACGAGGACCACTGGCCAAAAGGATACTGCTTACTTATGAACTCTTGAGGGGGGACCTGAGTACTATACCCAGGTACTTTAATGAAATGATACTGGAGTAGCCTTCATTTAAGAACTCAAATGTGCAATAAGTAAAAAGTTTGCTAGAAGCTGGGCTGCCTCAGGTAGCTCCTTTTTGGGTGGTAATCTCGCTACTGCTCAAAACCCACGTCTTCATCTCCTGGTACCACTGGTGATGTAACAAGTACTTGGTTTGTCAGCAGGAAATAAATACCCCGTATGATTGTTATGTAATCTTGAACAATCTCCAGGCAAACTAAAGAGTCTTCTTAGACACCTCTATTGTTTAAACAGACGGTTTACTTGTATAAAGTGAACCAGATCCCAGATCCTCCCCACCCCAGACAAAAGCGAAGATGCTAAAGTCGACTTTAAAAGAAGAAGAAATACAAAGCCCTGCTTTCTCTTTAAACCCGTGAACAATAGAAGGTCATGTGATGCAGTGGCCTATCATCCAGCACATTAATAGCTGTGCTAGAGTAATTACACTTGTGGTATTTTTGCCTCAAGTGAAATTCTGAAATAAGAGGATGGAAATTATGATACTGCTGATAAATATTAATAAGTGAACTTTTAATTTTTTTGCCACAATATTCAAAATGCTAAGCATCCCGCTAATGCTGAAGCAGCCCGATGTGTTTGCCTCCAGGGAGTACGATGCTTTGTGCACTTAAGAAAAAAGTTTAACGGAATTAAAATTTAATATCTAATTAGAGCAAGGCTAATATATTTTGAAATGAGTAGGGGAGACCTGTGCCTCTGCTGCATATTCGGGACGGCCATTAATCTTACCTGTAAAGCTGCATTGAGAGGTGTGCAGTAGGCGTGGCTGCTCTGCATGTTTTTAATAAGGGAAGGGTTACTGTATAAGAAAAAGATAAAAACTCAAAGTTAAACACAGTCGACTCCTGAGTTCCTAGCTAAGTTCTGTTTTAAGCTTGCTGGTGTCCTTCCAAATCAGCAATTTACCCCACTAACAAAACACAAGAAAAGTCAGGCTTTCTCCCCGTCACTGATTTGTAGGGCGGGTGTGTGTGTGCACACCTCTGGGGTTTGACTTCGCTATTCAAGGAAACTAGGTGTAAAATTCTGGCTTAGGTAGTAACAGGCTTGGGTCCTTCCTCCAGAGACCTCTCTGCAGATTTTTAGGAGTTAGCCTGACTCCAGACTCCAACAGGAAGGCAACAGCCTAGGAGGTCATGCTGGGGAAGGCAGTGAGCTCACAGCAGGGGCTGCTGGGCGTGAGCAGAGAGAATCTTGGCTCCCAATCATCTTCGAGATTTGAACTCTACAGTGACTGCTAGAGGGATGGCAGGAAGGCTTTTAAGAAACATCTACAAGGCACATTTATTGCCAACAGGTGATGGAGAGTAGGGTATGCCAGGGGAGGGTTGTTACTAAATATGGGGATGTCTTAGGCAAATCTGGAAGGGCCTGAGAATATTTGCTGCCATCTCCATTCACGGACCAAATGAAACCAACATACTGTTGTCAGAAAAATCTCTAACCTCGTAAGGATAAAAATATTCAAAAATCATACAGGGCATACTGAGGGAAAAGGGTGCCTCCCAGTAGGCAATTACCTACATTTATCAGTGGCCTTTAAAGTAAGTATACACAATAAGACCTATTTCTTTCCTATGCTTGGAACATTTTAATCATTCACTTCATTACATTTATATTATTATAGTGAGTGAACAGGAAATCTACCCCAATAGTACACACACATTTTAACTCTAACCAAAAATTCTCTTTTTACTTGGGGCGGGGGGAGAGGGGGATTATGGGTTAAACACAAGTATTTAGTTTTAGGGTCCCCTTAAGCTGCTGAATCAAAATACAATGAATATTTGCATTAAAGACGTCAAAAAAGCATTATTCAAGGCACTGGTGTTCCAAAGAGAAACGAGAGCAATACATGTACAAATCACACAATTTAGTTTCGTTGCAGAAAGCTGTGGCACTGCTATTGGTGAAATGCAAAACTACATGGGATGAGTCAACCATGCAAAGCCAAAGCAACAGCAGAAAAAAAAAACAAAAGCAAGTAAAGGCTCTTACTGTGCGACAAGCTCGTCAAAGTTTTCATCGGGGCAGTATTTGCGAGGACGGCCTCGTTGAATATGGCGGCCACGTTTAAACTCTTCATCATCAACTGTCCAAAAGGACCCAAACTCATCCTCTACTCTGATAAAGCACTTATGCAGTGAGAGGTTGGTGCGAATGGCACCCTGGGATAGGAGCAGCAGCAAAGGAGATGGAGTGGCAACAAAAGGAGACGGGGTTGGGGGCGGAACAGACATCCAATACAGGGAACAGGAAAAAGAAAATAAAATGCAATAAGCATAAGCAAATGGTTTGTGAGGGTTAATATGCATTGCCACCTAAAAGCTACTAGCATGTGATGCAACAAAGACCAGCAAGCAGGGCAGGGGGACTGGTGGGTATACAAAACAGGAGGGATGAAATGCTTTTTTGCTTCCCTTAACTGAGACAACGTGAAACCAGTTCTTTGGTCTAACACCATCTAGCAGCCAAAGCCTCTACGTTATACTTGTTAGCACAATCCAAGCTAGGCTAAGAAGTTCAAACATGGTGGACGTACCCACTGATCTTTTGTGGCCTTCGTTTTTGGAATTCTACTTCATCCACTGTCCATACTGCCCCTTTAACGTTTTCTACTCGCACAAAACACTTGTGAAGACTAAGATTATGACGCACTGCATTCTGCAGCAAGTATAAAAGAGAGAACATTTACATTTTCTATAAGAAAAGACTCCAAAAACAGCAGTAAATTCAGCCTAACAGTCCACATTTGTAAAACCATCCCCAAGAGCTGTAGCTGCCACCCCCGTGGAGGACCTTCTCATGGTTAAGGATGTCTTTTCCAAAAGCAAAAATAAACCAAAATTTTAAATTAATTGTACTTTGGCATTTTTGTCTAGTCTCTGGTAATAACTAACCAGAAGAAATATTTTTTAATATGCATACAAGCCCAAAATAGGTTCCAGAGTACAAATCTGAAAATGTTACTGTGACTTCAAAACAAGAACACATGCAAAGCATAAAACTGCCCTTTTTAAGCCCACCTACCTCCCATAAAAAGGGGGTATTTTTTTCAAACCATGAAAGAGGAACACTTGGTTAATATTGCTAAATACAGTTTTGTTCTTGATGGTTTCTGGCTTTTAAAACTTCCAGAGATCTTATGAAGAATTCTAAACTGGATTTTACCGCTGAGAGTAGTGCCTGTGTAGTCAAAGGATTAGGGAGGTGAATGGACCCCAGAAGAGATCAGTATCTATCATCATGTTATGTCTTACCTTCCAGAATATGAGAGTTGGCCCTAACTATGGGCAAGTATTTTAACTGAGTAAATGCCAAAGGAATATGAGTGAAACACTCAATGGCAAAATGACTATATTTCTACAGTTGATGGTTTCTACAGACACATCTTATTTATGGTTAAAAGTCCTTTCTGGCCATTCCTAAGCTGAGACCCTTAACATCAACAATTTATCAAAAAGGAGGATCTCAACTCAAGGGTGAAGAGCTTTTAATATCTCATCTTTCCTCTGGGTTTCAGAAGAATCCCCCACCCTTACTGGGTACAGTTAAAAAGCAAGGCTTCGTTTCTTTAGTTCTGCCTGGTTAAACTTATGGATCCAGACTCAATTCTGGACATGAAGATATTCTAAAGAGATTCAGGTCATTTACTTAAATTTTTCTTTTTATTCAGGATAAGGAGATGACTCAATAGTAGATGACTCAATTGGGGCTTAAGAAGTTGATATATACATCACACTGGGCAAAGTCCTCACTCAATTCCAGCAACACTGCTATTGCACAAGCATTTTGCACCCCTCCGCATTCTGCCACCGGAGTATTTCCTTCCTGAATTAGCCTTAATGGTGGTGAATCTTGATACTCTGAGAGGCGCTTCAGTTTTTGGACAATCACAATTGGTGGCTGTGAGGATTCAAGCTACATAATAATTTTTCTTTTCGGATATGGAATATTTAGAAGATAATGAGACAAGTTTTAATGCATGGTGTGATGAATTGCTTGAAAGGAGAATTCACAGGATAAATTCCCGAAGAGTTTTTGAGTAATGTCAGCATAATTGAGGTAGGTTCAAGATACCCAGGGGACTAACAAAGGACATTCCTGATTCAAAAAAATTGGATGGATTTGCTTAAAATCTCTAAACTGAAAACATTTGGCATGTCATATACTTGATGGGACAATTTTCTTTGCATATAAACTGGAGTCTAATCTAAGTAAGCAGTTTTTTTTTTTTTTTTTTTTCTTGAGGCTAGGTCTTGCTCTCTTGTCTGACTGGAATGCAGTGGTTCAATTATGGAGTGCAGTGGTTCAATTATGGCTCACTGAAGCCTTGTATTCCTGGGCTCAAGCGAGCCTCCTGCCTTAGCCTCCTGAGTAGTTGGGACTAGAGACACGTGTCACCACACCCAGCTAATTTTTAATTTTTTTTTTTTTTTAGAGATGGGGTCTTGCTATGTTGCCCAGGCTGATCTTGAACTCCTGGGCTCAAATGATCCTCCAGCCTCCCAAAGTGCTGGGATTACAGGCAGGAGCCTGTAATTTAAAAAAATATATTGCCCAAAGGCACATGATAGAAGGTCTACTGTTATTTACTGGAACAAAATTGAGGTGGTATAAATAAATGGACAAAGCCAATTTCCTTTAAAAATCCAGACAAGGTATTATACATTTAGGAGACATAACTTGAAAAGAAGTCAACATTGCTACTAATCCTAATCACTGCCTGATGCTTTAAAATACGTATCAAAATGTACAGAACTGAAAGGTCTTAAAGCTACTCTTGACAAAATAATTTCTGTAGATCAGGTTGAGCAATATAACCGTGTGAGTAAAGACACAAAGCCAAAACTTCAGTTCTGTTTTCCAAAACTGCACATCTAAGCAGAAAGCGACAAGAAGTCAAGAGTTTTCAAAAAAAAAAAAGATGTGTAAGCTCTTTTCAGCCATAACTTTAACTGGGCATTTCATCTTTTGTCTAAGATCATGGTACAAACAAGGACACGTAGAGAAAATTATACGTATTTGTAAGTCATTAAGTACTTCATCTAAGGTTGTTTATATTAATGACACTTTTTCCTGCAGTTTGCAAAATGAAAAAGTTCAATCTGAAGATCTAAGCTTAAATATTATATTCACAACTGGTAATTATTTTTAAATTTCATCATTTCTATTTATAAAAGGCAATCTGAAGAAAATGTCTGCCTCATGCTTCAACTTCCTAAATTTTTAAAAGCATTCATGGCTAAAGATCCTTTTATATTTTATCTCCCAAGGCAGGCTGAGGCAAAGAGGGGAAGATTCTGAACATAGGTTCTCTTCGGTGCCCATGTGTCTTAATGGAAATGAAAGGATAATTTGGGCCATAATAGATATTCACAGCTCTGTAAAGTTGATGCATTAATTCTATGGTTTATATTCGTTTTCTTTTAAAATGCTAATTTATCAGGAACTTAACAGAGGAAATGTATTTTTCTGTTTTTTGCTTTGGTTTTTCTCCAGTTTAAAATTAAGGAATTAGCAAGGAAGGCATTTATTTCAAGCGAAGGAAGTTTTCCTTGCATCCTATAACACACCCCGATCATATTTAGATTAATGGCATAGCCTCAAATGTTTGTACAATCACATGTCTCTAAATGTTTTGGATTTCAGGGATTACAAGAATTCCAGGTAGTAAAAAAGGCAAAAATAGAAATGACAGAGTGTACCTGTCCCCTTCTATAAGCAAGAGTATTAGTCACCAAGAAACTGAAAATGGGAAAGCCCAAACATATGTGAGGGCTCAATCTAATATAAGGGAATAAATACCAGTGGAATCTTTGAACGAGCTGCTGACCTGGGAATGTGGTAAGCCATGTATGACTCCAAGCACTGCTGGGGGCATCCAATAAAGAGCTACGGAATTTGACTTGTTTTTATAGCAAATAGCATTATAATGAAGTTCTAAATCTACTTTTCTTCCTTAGTATATCTATGAGGGACAATCTCCCTTTTTTTTTTTTTTTTTTTTTGAGACAGGGTCTTGCTCTGTTGCCCAGGCTGGAGTGCAGTGGCATGAACAGGGCTCACTGCAGCCTCAACTTCCTTGCTTCAAGCAATCCTCCCACGTCTGCCTCTGGAGTAGCTGTGACCACAGGTGCATGCCACCATGCCTGGCTAATTTATTTAATTTTTTTTTTTTAGAGACAGGGTCTTGCTATGTTGCCCAGGCTGGTCTCAAACTCCTGGGCTCAAGTGATCCTCTTGCCTCAGCCTCCCAAAGTGCTGGGATTATAGGCATGAGCCACTGTGCCTGGCTATTGCAGTTTTAAAAAACCTTATAGAAAAGGTTTCAGCATGCTTGCATACTAAACGGTTTTAAATCTCTTGACTTAAAAACAAAAACCCCTTAATAATACATTGTGTTCTCCATTAATAACTCCTACAAACAGTGCTAGTACTTGTGCACAGCTTTCTCTACTAATTGGGTTAATGAGCTCTTTATCCAACCACTGAGGGCTGTGTCAAGTTTGGTCATTTCTCCAGGTTCCATCTCTGGAGACACATCTCTGCAAATATTGGCTGTGGTTGAATACCTAACGGCATGAGGTTTGTGCAAGTAATATGGCAACCTCCACTTCTGGGCGACGGTGTTATCTCCTTTTCTCTACATATTCCAACCAGAGGGAGATCATTTTACTGGCTGGCCCCTCCACACTGTGATGCCAGTATAATGAGAGTCTTCCATCAGAGCATTTCAACCACAATGACACTATTTTCCCAATCAAATACACCTAGAGATTGGACACTTTAAAAGTATTAAAACAATATAAATGTAGCTTCCTTATAGCACAACTGCATTTTATCAACAACAAACTGTTCTATGAACGTCAAGATCCAAGAATAAACAGGCCCGAGAAAGCTTACCTTCCACGTGGCTGCGTTGCGTCGGAAGTAAGCAAACATTCGTGTGAACCAGTTATAGATTTCATTTAGTGTTAGCTGCTTTTCTGGAGATTCGAGAATGGCCTGTGAAGCAAAATGTAACAGAAGATAATTTATGACCAAATCAGCAGAGTCGTCGTTACAGTTTGTCGAAAATATAAAATCACTCTGATTCAGAGCTAAATCCTGAGAAAGGTTTCACAAAATGATCTAAGATTAATGGTTGTATTTAACAGTTCAATGGCAAAATTCAAAATGGAATTATCTAATTGTTTTGAGTTTTTATTTCTGTTTCCGTACAGAAATATTAATTTATTAGTCATTCATAAAGCAGAATCAAAGAGAAATGCAAAACATTTCACTAGCTGATTAAAGCTCAGTAATTATTTAGAGCTCAGATTAATTCTAGGGATCAGAGATTACTGTAGCTTGTGATAATTGACTTGCCATCTTTAAACAGGCTCATTTTCACTGTTGTGTGAAATGAATTTCCTAATAATCACATCGTATTGTAATACTTAATCAAAAGCAATTATGTTATATATTGCAGTTTTAAAAAACCTTATAGAAAAGGTTTCAGCATGCTTGCATACTAAACGGTTTTAAATCTACTTCATCTATATATCCATATACACATATACCTTCTGATAGAATTTCATATACTGTGTTATTTACTTACCTGCCTAATTAAAGATGCATATGTAAATGGTGGTCTAACTTCTGCGTTCTTATAAAATTCTTGGTTCTGCGCAATATCTGCTGAATAAGAATCATTGTCCTATTAATTATCGCTTTTTAAAAAAGGGCTGGTCTACAAGAATTGCAGATTACAACTCTACATGAGGCAAAACGTGGAGTATCTACCTGACGAAATCGGCACGTTGTATTTGTCTGAGTACCGCCTGCGGATGGGTCCCACCGTGTGCATGCTGGTGGTGGTGATGACGGAGGGGCCTTGGGTGACGGGAGTCAGGGGGGCGGTTGGGGTCGTTGGAGTATGAGGTAAGCTCTGTGGAGAAGCCTCTGATGCGGACTTGGAGAGAGTGACACTTGATACCAGATTCAACTGTGAGAAAAAAAAAAACAACGTCTTAGGAGACCTTCAGAAAAACAGAGAAACCCAGGCACCACATCCAGCAGGAGTAACACAGAGGATGCGTGGGCAGCGCTCTTCCTCTAAGTAGATATGTTTGTCATGAACCGAAACACAAGGTAAGTCCTGCGTGAATTCACTTAGGATGCAGTGCAAGATATCTCTGGCAGCGGTCTCTTTTCCAAAGGCTGTTACATGGGTGTTTACAGGCTCAAAAAGGGGTTACCTACCTGGGTGAGTTTGAGACAGTCTGAGTCAAGACATTTCTTTCATGGTGATGTCTCACCTACGGGCTTTAATGGCCTGTCAGGCCTCATCAACCTCAAAGAGGGACAGAAGTCCTTAGCAATGCCAGTGAAGCTGAGTATTTTAGGTGACACCAGTTGGGATACGCTGGTGTAGCTCTGAAGTGTCTAGCAGAACTTTCTGCAATATGTTAGCACAACCCAAGAGCTGTTTTTACTTGCTTTTTATTAAAATTAAACTTTAATAAATTTAAATGGAATGAGCCCCATGTGGCTAGTAGCTACCATACTGGACAGTCCAGGAAGAGCCTACTGAGCTCCACTGTGCAGCTTCGTGGATGACGACAACTCCTGCAAATATGTGTGGCCTATTACTCATATTAAACAAATGGACCTGACCCCCACAAGCTGTCATTTGTTTCTTATCAATCAGTTGGCAGAAAATAAACCTTAAAAGCATTATGAGTAATCTTCATTAAATCTATCAAATACAGGCTTGGGATCTGTTAATATTTTTTTTATTGTGACATTCTTTTATAGAATATGGGAGATCTGGAACTGAGGTTTTTGATTTTTTTCCTTCAAGTTTTGAATGTTCTATAAAATGGGAAATAATCTGCTTCAAGTTAGGAAATGAATATTATTTGAAGTAGAAGAGAAGAAAATAGGCTGGGCACGGTGGCTCACACCTGTAATCCCAGCACCTTGGGAGGCTGAGGCGGGAGGATGTCTTGAGTCCAGGAGTTTGAAACCAGCCTGGACAACATGGTGAAACTCTGTCTCTATTAAAACACACACACAAATGAACCACGTGTGGTGGCACATGCCTGTAGTCCCAGATACCTAGGAGGCTGAGGTGGGAGGATAGCTTGAGCCTGGGAGGCATAGGTTGCAGTGAGCTGAGATCACACCACTGCATTCCAGCCTGGGTGACAGAGTAAGACTCTATCTCCGAAAAAAAAAAAAATTAACGAGCACTGTTTCAATTTATCTTTCCTTCCTTCACCTTAAAGTACTGTTCTTACAAATACTAAAAGGGATAACCCTTTCCCAAAATTTGTTGGAACAGAAATATTATTTTATGTCTGGCAATGCTGAAGAATTTGGTTGTTTTCAGCGTATGTATAACTGTTTATATGCTATCTCAGATACACAGACCCAGCCTAAAATCCAAGAAACTTCAGCAAAGTAGGCTTACTTGGTAACATTTTCTCAAACCAGATTTCAAATCACTTACCATAGTAAGTCTGTTTCATCAAGTCTGATTCACCATGCTACAGTCAGTCTTAAGTACAAGGCAGTATTTGTGGAAGGTATTAAAAATGAGATTCCTCTGAGATCGTAATCAAATAACTTATTAAAAGAGAGTTCCAATATGTTGGGAAGACTCGACCTTTACTCATACTCAGTTAAAAAAAAAAAAAAAAGAGGGGCCATGAGAATCTTCTCTAATATGTTTGAGGAGAGTTTCATAAAAAAGCAATGAATCTGAAGAAAAGAAAGATCAAATATCATGAAGAAATACTAATGGAAAAATGTAAACATGGCGCTGGAAACGGAATGTTGTGAGCTTTGAGTCGTGCTTTCCTTTTTATTTTCAGCATAGAATGTTGACTCGGTGAGCAACAGACAATGCCCGTGAAGAGCAAGCTATGGAGATGGCACTGCCCTTACAAATGCCCCAGCAAGCTGAGCAGATGCCATGAGTGGCTTTTTCTCTATAGTGCTGGAAACCAGACTTTCTGACACACATTTGCAAACTAAGTGTGAACAGTTCACAGTAGCAGCCGCAGGATGGGGCAGAGCTGAGAAGCCAAGTGGGGAAGAGTTGGGGCTGACCTCTTCTTCACCTCCGGCCTTAATCACTGACCAAGTACAGGAACAGTACGTATAAGCATCAGCCCAAGCAAAGGGTCAAGGAAATTAGTGCATGAAAGGCGAACGCTCATAAATATACAGCTTTTATAATTCAGATGCTGCTAAGCCTAAGAATCTCAGAGCACTTTGGAAAGTCATGGGTAACATTTGTAAAAATCATGTTTTAAACCACCTGCCACTGTGTGGTCTCCTTTAATTCTCATACCACCACTAATATCTGAGATGTTATTACTCGTACTTCACAGATAAGCAAACTGAGGCTTGGAAAGAGTAAATAATTTGCCCATATTCCCAACCCAGACCCGAAGTCAAACCACATACTTGTACGATTCTAGATCCTTTGTATAATCATCTTATGCCTAAGTTAATGGGAAAAATGAACACTAACCAGTTTCATTTTTCTGTATGCTCATTTTTGGAAAAGATTCCGTGCAGAGCATTTTATCCCTGCTTATGCATGACATTTAACACATGTAACTGAGCAAATATAAGGCAGTCAGTCCGACAATGACAAAAACAGGAATAAAACAGTTAACTGCTGCCCTTGAAGGGCTTACCATCGAACACACATGTCAAAGGGCAAAGGTACGCAGTAACCACAAAGCAGTTCTGAGGACTGACTATACTTCTTGGCTTCTCTTTTCAGTTTAAGAACTTCTCCCTAAACGCTGTGGCCTTCTTAAAGATGCAATGAAAATTACAAACACAAATGTCCTGCATGCATGCTCCCTTCCAGTTTTGGGAGGAAGATCACCAAGTTAACTGAGTTCCAGTTTCATTGTCAGAAATCAAAACTCATTCAGTGAGCGCAAGCCCATCTTTTTGGGTGTTCACAGCTAAGAAGAATAGACAAATCCCACAGTAAAATGTCATCAAATGCCAAAAGGATGTGAGTCTTGTAGCTTCCACCAAGATCTCACCAGTAGGGCTCTCTCTACCAAAAAAAAGTCAACAGCGAAAAATAAAATCCCTCCAAGTTAGCACAATCCACAAAGGAAGAGATGAAGGTAGAATTTTCTGGAGGCTTTTGAACATTAGCAAGTGGGAATAAACATTGAGCCAGAAGACAGCAGAGAGGGGGCTTACCAGGCTTGACAAATGACACCGTGATTCACACCCACTGCTGGGCTGTCTCTAATAAGCCACAGAGGAAGCAGCCAATCTCAGCTAATTACCAGATAAAAATGTATTGTAAGGACTCTAATTAGGAGACGCGGATGGAGGTGATCTAATGATTAAATGCTGCATTCGACTGACCCCACCATCAATGTGCAGTGGTGCAAGATGTCACTGGAATATTTTGTAGAAACAGTAATTTTATTTCGAGGAGGGGAGGCAGTAATATTTGTAATGATGGCTATGAGGTAAACTAATTAAAAGACAGTTCCTAGAGGAAGAGGGTGGCTGAGAGCAGCTGTGGCCATTCCAAAACCAAGTGCCAAGTCTCAATAGAGGAGCTGCAGTCAAGTGGAAAATTTCTGCCTGACCTCTGCCCTTGCTATTAATTTGCAGGAAAACTAATGACACATATACATATTCCCACAAAATTGTTCTAATTGCTAATTTGCCAAAGGAGCCCAGATTCCAAATTAAACATGACTGTAGCCTGTGAGGGAAGGAAGAAAAAGCTGTACGCTCCAAACACAGGGTGCTTTGCCACACAAAATCACTTGAAGACTGAACCAACAAGTTAATGAAATGTCAACCTTGTCAACTGGTATAGAAGTTTCTTAACTTTTAAACTTCTGTTTGATGATCACATGCTTGTCTTGAGGAGAAACCATCTTCGAAAGGGAAGGTTGAGAGAGAGAATGGAGAAGAAAGATTCAAAACAGGCTCTGTGTTCAAACCAAACCTGCTCTTTTAATTAAGGCCTCTTTGAAAAAAGTGTGCCCCCCCAAAAAATTAATTACAGACTTAGAACAGAAGAGCAAATGGGGAATGGTGTGGGTTTTTGCTGTAATCTTGAAATATTCATCTTAATTGTAAACTATTAAATCTTAATGTAATCATCAATTAGAAATGAAAGCATATGTGCTTTGTGTTTCTGATTGCAGTTAAGGTTTTAAAAGATAATTTTTTCTGGGGCATGGAGCAGGAAGGGAATGGACTGGGAGGGTTTCTTTTCCTGATGGAAAGCCTATTTTTCTTATTGTGTTCATTTTCTATTTAAAAGAAGTTGCTATGTTTAGAAGAGTCAGTAACTCTGATATGTTCTACATGGCAAGTTTCCATCATGTGATGATTTCAGCAAAGATAATCTCTTTGAAACTCTGGCCAAAAGTTAAATTCTTATGTCATTTAAAATTGCTGTAGGGTTTTATTTTTTAAATTTATTTGTACTCTCAGGCATCAGCTTTTCTTTTAGCCATCGAAACTATTCAAACTTGGTCGGCTACCCACTATTCTGCTTAGTCCTTTTTTTTTTTTTTTTAATTAATCTTTAGTTTTTAACAGTAATCTCCCCTCCTGTTTAAAGATGATGAGTCACTCACATTAAAAAAATAAACCGCTGATGTAAACCCCTGACAGAAACAGACTTGTAAGTATTCCCATAAGAACTCATTTTTATTTTTGTTTGTGCTCTTGCCTCACATGAAAACAGATTCTGAGAACAAAAGACAAACCTGAAACCCAAACACCAAGGGACACAACTGCGTAGTAGGGACTTTCGGGCTCACAGAACTTGTTTTTCTGCTCTTGGTTTTACTGGCCTGAGCCAGCTCAAGTCCTGCTTTAACTGCATGGCAGTGTCATTTCTGGGCATGAATCACTGAGTTCAGAGACGGCCTTTCTGAGGCTGGAGGGACGTTACCAGGCCGTGTGGAAGGCAGGACAGTGGGTGGCAGCTGAAGGCCTTTGTTACAAGCCTTTGCTTTCCTTTCCTTTACCATCTCAGCCTGGCCCTGTTTTAGAGACGCGTGCTCGTGGAAGGTAATGACTTAGAAGGTGGTGGTATTGGCAGGGATACTAAAAGCAAAAACAAAAACATTCTAGTTGAAAGGTTGGGGCGGGGGGCACTTAATGAAAAACAGTATATAAAACAGCTTTTGTGTGTTGTGCCTAAGAATCCCTTTTTATGACTGCTTAATATTATTTCTCCAACTCTTAAAGCAAGGACTTAGGCAGCCCAAATGATCCTTGAAGAGTTAAAAGACCCTTTTTTTTTTTTCGGGGCGGGGGGGGCACTCTGTTTTTATAGCAGCTAAAAACTCTTTCAAAACAGTCCTAATGGCTATGGTTAGGGGAAAAGAAAATCTGTAAAAATGAAAATCTAATACTGTATTTCATTCCAAATATCCAAGTTCCTGTAAGTGCTTTATAAGATTTTCGTCAAGAAGGATATACCACCTACACTATAATTACGTGCCCACCAAATCTAAAAGAATGTGGTTTCTCCAGAAGCAGAAGTTGTTCTCTGATGTGCAGGAATACCCTAAAGCAAAGCGTACCTCTCATGTACTCAGTATTATAAAATATGATTTACAGTGTTTTCCTGACATAATGACAGAGAGTGAAAAGTCTTTTTAAGAAATCCGTAGCAATTTAATAAAGTCATCATACCACAGACATGTTTCTTTTTGTTGTTTTTGTTTTGTCCTCTTAGTTTTTCACTCCCTCCCCCAAATGAAGTATCCTGGCAAATTCTCCACAGAGTAAGCATGGAGAAATTAACCTCCAAGCAATACATCTGGGTGTTTACTTTGAGAATGTTTACTGAGTTTGGAACAAAAGAATATCCATCATTTTCATTAGGGCAGTTTACTGTTGTTTTTTGCTTCTCTTTCCATAGAAAAGAATAGAATCTTTTAAAACTTAAATAACAAGAAATGTGGTCATTCTAAATATAAGAACTGCTTTTCTGCTCTACGTGATAGCTAGAACTTAGGGCTGGTCTGGTCAACTTACACATACTACATACGTCCACGCAGTGTTCAGTCTTAATAAAATTAAAACTTTGAAAAGCTTGTCGTAACTGATGTTGGTTATTCCCTTCCTTCCTCTACACTGATCCTCACCAATCAGAGGGACCTATTTGTGCACCCACTCTTAACCTAAGGAAAAGGTTCACGAGGCTGACCTCTTACCATTTCTTCCTGCTCATCTTTTAGGTTTCAGCTTAGACATCATTTCTACCAGAAGTCTCCCCCGACTTTACCATTCTGGGTCAGCTGTTCTACTTACAGGTAGCGCAATTCATGGAAAGTGAGACTGTGTGAGTATGTATATAGTTATTTGTTATTTCTTTTACCAGGCTCCAAACACCTCTATGGCACGGATGGGCCTCACTCATGCGATTGACTACTCTGTTCAGTATGTCACATACTCAAGACATATTTGTTGATGGAAGAATTTGATTTCAAATGTAGGAATTCCCTTTCCATAACCAACTTGCACCTTGAGTCTTTGGTTTTGTTCTGAAAGGAAGGTTTTACTTAGGTTTAAAGAGACGTGACAGCAAGCAAGAAGAAAGGCTGTCGAAGGAGTCTGAGGGATGGGAAGCCCCTCAGCTCCTGTCCCAGTTCACCCATAAGCTTTCTTCCTTAGATCCATGTCTAAAAACTTGGGCACTTTCCCGAGATGAGCGTATCCTCTAACTATCCAAATCTGATGAGTCCCACAATAGGATCCAGAAAATGCGTCTATGAGTGGATGTAAAAACAATCTAAGAACATTTTAGCAGTTTCTTTGATGCAAAGAAATGAGGACTGGTTGGATGATTGGATACAGCAAATGACACTTAACACCCAAATGGCATTTAGTGAAAAGCAACATTTACAGCAAAGCATTCTATCACTTAGTGACTAAGAATTTTAAAATAAACACGAGGTTTCTTTTACACAGAAATGGAAAAAAGAAAAAGCTTCATGAACTTACTGGCAAGGTTGTAACATCAAAGTCCCCATCTATGGTTAGATTTGAATCCTGGTGACTGCTTGTTTCAAATCAAAGATTCTAGAAGGATACTCATTCAAACAAACATCATGCATTCTATTATTTAGGGTGGAATAAATTAATTACAGACTGCAGAAAATATTTTGCACGTGAGAATTAGTCACCAGATAGCTCTGGGCCCTTAAAGTTGAAAGCATCAAGGGTTTGCTGTATGTGTGTGCCCTTTTTTTTCCTCTTTTTGGCAAAGAAGTGAAAATTTATGCAAAACATTACACGTCTACCTTTTATAATTAATTTCCCAATGCCTCACCTATACATATTTTAATAATTCCTGATTTATAAGATGGTATCTGTAATAAAATTTTCTATTTTCCAATAAATGAAAAGAAGGCAGGTTCACTCCGACAACAGAGTGTCACACAATATCTGCTTGTCAGGCACCAATTTTTACTTCTTACATGTAAGTTAAAGGATAAGGAATTTATAATGCTGCCTGTGAAGGGAACCACTTTTCATACACAAATGTGATCTTTTTTTTTTCAAAGGGTAATACAACAGTACATTTACATAAACTAATCCAAACAATCTATGTATTTGACAATGGCAAACCTCACACAGACGGCCTATTGTTGGTTTACATCTTGGAGTTCTTTATATTGGCTTGTAGCGCTGCTCTAGCTGTCAAAGGTTTGACTTGGACTCTAAATAAATGGTTATAGAAGTGCTGTGCAGTGATATTGGACTTCTTTGCAAAAGAAAACCTGCTGTGTATGAATTCAAAAGCTATTAATTTTTCAGTCAAAAATATTCGTGCCTATTTCTTTTAATAAAGAAATACTGTGCTGAGCTACTAAGAGATAATGTTGACTAGTGGTAGAGAATTTTCAATAGAGCAGTTAAAAATAAATTTAGTAGGAGGTCCCCTTCAAAGTTATAATTTTCTAGAATGTAAAACATTTTTTTTTAATACTAATCAAGACAAACCTTCCACCCCAGTTCACTTCCCCCCCATGCTTTTCCCTGTTTACCGGCTGCTTAACACTGGTCCTACATGAAGAATCCAGTGGTCCTTTTGTGGCCCACGGGGGCTTACATACATGGTGCTCTCTGCCAACACCCAGCCCAGTCACTCGCCAAGCGCCCTACGGGGTTTTGTAGTTCCTTTAACTGTAACCTTCCTCTTCCCAAGGAGCCCCAAGATCCACGCCTACAGTGCTGGGTCCAACCATTATCCTATCACTGTTTTTGATCCGTGGAAGAAGATAGAGATAATCTCATTCTTGTTGCTAGGTGCAAAGACTCGAACCCTTCAATCTGGGAAAACCATTTCATTAAAGCCATCTTAAGACTTTCAGAAAGTTCCAAGGCAGTGAATGCCCTGTGCAGTCAGCTACACTTCTTCAAGATAACTTCAGCCAAGTCGTCTCAGAGGCTCACCAATTTGCTTAGCTGGGTTCAAGATCTTTCCAATATCCTCCTTAGAAGGAGGGGCTGTTAGAAACAGCACAGTTGACTACTGATGCCACAACACTGAATGAGTTGGTTCTTTTTTTCCTTTCTTTTTGGTAGCCTACACATCCAGTCCTACAGCCATTTACTGTAAAATACACGGAAACTAAGGACTCCTTCCTAGTAAAAATGGATGCACGAAGTGTTTAATGATTTTATGTCCTATATCCCAGTAATGTGTTCTGTTTCAGACATTAATTTTGCCTGCCAACTGCATCTTGGCAGGCTACCATATTTGCTGGGTTAATAGTCTGACTCCGTTTTATTTCTATCACCATAAATCATACATATATGGGTGTATGTTTGCTTTATTTATAGAAAAAAATCAGTCAAAACAGATAAACCAATACTTTGCCATTACGCTGCATCATTGCATATTGATTAAAATTGCTGGTACTAACTATAGATTGTCAACGCTCAATTAATTTTCACACAGTGACTCCAAGCAAAATCAAATAAAGGCAGTGTACCTTTAAATTTTACAAATCTTAAAATCAAGAAGCAAAGCACTGTCTCCATTTTGAATAATCAGTTAAAGCTACTAGGAGAATTTTAGAAATGTAAGAGAAATACGACCATTAAAGAGATCGATTTATTACAAGGAAGGAGGTCCAAGACAAAGTTTTAGGTTCAAACACGATCCTTCTGCTTCGATATTAACAGCCTGTGCTGGGATGACATCCTTCAAGGTCTAGTAAAAGGGAACAAGGCAAGAAAGAGGAGATTCTTACACATTAAATGTAATTTCAGTGTATTGTGTTTGGTCTCCTAACTGTGAAGGAATAATTTTCATTTCAAACTCCTTAGTAACCACTAGAGCCTCTCCATAATTTAGCCTCTGACTATTCCAACAGTAGGTTTCCTATGTCTTTCCTCTGTTAGAGTTCGACTGGACTAGTCCCTGTTCTTTTTCCTAAACACCACTGTCTCTCAGCTTACCCGAGCTGAAATGCCCTTTCCTTTGCTGTCATGGTTTAGCTGTCTTCTCTGTGTTCCTACCATTCAGATTTTCACTTTCCAGGGAGCTCTCATAATGTATTTCAGTACCCTGCCTGGGCACCAATCATTCTGCCCTTAAAGAAGAGCTGGGTGCTTGGGTCTTATGGGCAAGGACCATGTCTGAATCATCCTGTATCTCCCCAAATGCCTAGCATACAACCTTCATCATCAAGGGTAACCAGAAGCAGTCACATGAATCTAAGGCCTTCAAAACTCAAAGCTCTACCAAAGTAGGCTGGTCCCTCCTTCCTAGGTTTGGGGTGGGGAAGTAGAAAAGGAATACTGCACGTTTTGTTTTGTTTTTTTTTTTCCCTTGGTGGGGATCAGTACTTACGGGCTGAGGGGCGGCTTTGGGTTCTGTAGACTTCACATGCAGGTGGGTCATCATGGCTTGCAGGCGCTCCTTGTCTTTCGCAAGCTGGTAGGAAGAAAATGCTTTGTTATTTCTCTGAATAAAGATGCATGACTCTTTTGACACCAACAATGATACACATTACAAATTACGCTATGGCACCATAGCACGTGATAAAATCATTTTCATTGCTTGTTTCTGAAAGCTACATGACCACTGCCAAACTCTAAGTAACCAGAGGTGCTGGTGTGCGATTTCTCAACACTAGATGCATTAGACTTTAACTGGGAAGTTCTAGACCTGCTGGCACCACGCAGTCCCATGGAACACAGACAGCTAAAAGACAAATGTGAATCATGCCTATTAACCAACCTTATTCCTGAGAAAAGCCAAGGGAAAATGAGCTAGGTAGCTAAAACCCATAAATTCATCTGTTGTGGTTGTGGAAAAACTCCTAGACAGATGGATACATTTATGCAAAATTAGCTTCATCTTTCTTAACAGGTAGGCATAGATTAAGACAGTGCTGGCAAGTGATATTAGCAGGCCAGGAGCAGGCTCCAAGGGATGACAGGTTCCCATTTTCAAATGAGCGTAGAATAAGCTTGCTCATTCATTTACTCGAGATTTGAGTACCTGCTATGTGCTAGTCTCATCTTAATAATTTAAGTGTCCTTATTCCATAAAAAACGATCTTCTGAAGTCACACAAGTTTCTCATTGGATATACACAGTAGGCACTGAAATATGGCTTATTGGAAGCTACATCCTTTATGCTTTGCTTGGACTGCTTTAACTCAATATTTTCAATAGTTCAAGACATTTGGGCATAGGGGACACGTAACGATTACTTCTGTAAAAGAAGTGGGAAACACATCCCCTAAAGATAAAGGGATAGTTAAGAGAACAGCTGTGGCATTTAGGGAAAACGGAGAAGAGATTAATATGAGAGAGAGAGAGAGAGGAGAGGGAGAGAATACAGTTTAATTTCAATACTTTGGTAGATCATTTGTCCAAAATAATGCCTTAGAATTAAGGAGGGACTCATTAGTTCTGTCACATAATTAACCTTAAATCCTTTAAAAATCAACAGTTTTTTAAAGTCTAAAATTATTCCCAAATAAAAAAAAAAATGCACCTTATCTATTTAAATACAGTTATTTTCTAAGGATGAAGGGGGACGGGGGTCGGGGATTGTGGAAAGACAGAGAAAAGGGAAAGAGCACAAAAGGGAGAAGGGAAAAAGCTTTCAGCTTATCCCTACTGGATGACTCAGTCTCAAGCCATATCACATTTGATTTTTTTTTTTTTTCTTTTTATTCCCTTGTGGTTCAGGGAGGAATAAATTAAGAGAGAAAGGAAAAAAAAAAAAAAAAAAAAAAAAGCCGTACAGTGTTAGCATTTATCTTTCAACAAACAGGAAATGAAAATGATACCATATTAGGAGCCACTTGATGTTATTCCTCCTCTGTTCTTTAGTAAGTTATTGAACAGCCAAACTAAAAGATTCTCTGAACACATAATGCTAAAGGAATTTAGTTTTCCAAAGAGGCTTAGAACAATTAAAATGTTGGGAATGCTATTTTTCTGCCATTATTATTAATTTTTTTAATGTAAGTATCCTAAGCTTTTTGATGTCAAATACTCAGACTTTTTAAGAAACGTTTTGTTTTAAAGTTATCAAAGGGCAGAAGGAATTTAAAGTTATCAAAGGGCAGAAATCAATTGTATTTTTCTTAAAAACAAGTAGTCTGTCATGCTGAACAATACAAATCAAAGGGTGAGAGGTGATATTTACTGAAGTCTGCTGAATATTAACTGTGACTTAATTTGGGGGTAAACAGTGTTGATGTAGCAATTATAAAGACTAAGCGTGGTACAAGGAAAATCCAAATCCCGAGCATTTAAAGGAAACATCTCCTCCATATTTCTGTCCAAAGGTCTACCAAGCTGATCTTCTACTGGTCAGCCAAAGGGAGCAACACTACATTGCAAACATATATCTAGAATTTGTATACACGGCCACTTTCATAAACCCTGGAGGTAACTGCCATTGGAAACATTTTCATATTTTTCCATGAGCACACTGCTTAGAATTCATCACCAATTCTGAGAGTTATCCAGGAACCTCAATTGTACCACCCTAGTTCTGCTTTTTTAAAAGATGGACAACGTTACATAAAAAGGCAAAAATCTAACTTTTTGGTTTTGTTTGGTTAGTGCAAACTAATGTGTAGTATCATATTCTTGAATGAGTTTAAGACTTTAAATCAATTATAGCTCTAACACAAACTATTTTAACAATTACAGAAACCCGCCAAATTCAGTTTTTCTTTTTTTTTTAGGCAAAAAGGCTAAACATTCACACCTATTGAAACCACATCCTGTCTACAATGTCTGTCTTGCATTTGTAATACTAACTGCTCCTTCCAAAAGCTTTCACATTCTTTATTACTTTGTATGCCATCATCCCACGGGCTCACCATCCCCATCAATTTTCACAGCACGCTTTCATTATTACAATGTGAGGATACAAACATTTAATATTAGTATATTCCAGCATTTCCTCTTAAACTATGAATTCCATGAAAAGCAAAGAAAAGGAGGTTGAGACATTCAATCCAAAGGCCCACTAAAACTTGGTTGACAAATTAAAAAGAAAATTTGTGTTGAAATATCAGAAGAGAATTACTCTCTACAAAACTTTCCCAGTGGGTATGGAATGAGTATCTAGCATAAAGGGAACGACAATGGCCTAAACATTAGAGGGAGCTGTTTGTGCAGGGGTCATTTTAATCCACTGAGTTTATTCAACCGTTCCGTAGAACTGCGACAGGGTGAAAACGGTTAAGGATGTGGACAAAACAATCACGCTGTGCTGTGTTCAAATCCTGGCTCAGTGACTCAACACATTATGTAACCTTTTTAATTACCTAGTTTCTCCTTCTAAATATGGAATGATCATCTCTGAACTCTGAAGGGGTGTTCTGAAGATCAGAAGAGTTCTTGCACATAACAAGCTTAGCAAAATGACGAGTGCTTCATGAATGCTCAACAATTTTCTAATTTTTTTAAAAAAGAAAAGTGAAATCCATCCAGTGTATCTAGACTTGTCCTGGCTGAGGATATGTTTGAAATCTGGATCTGCTTAACAGGGGTTCAATGGAGTTTGCAGCTGGGCTAACTGGGAAGAGAAATAATTTTGATTGTTTAAAGAATGGAACAGAAAGCGAAGGAAAGATGAAGCCCACTTCTTATCAATTTGTCTCAGGTTCTTACTGTAGCTTCCCCTCATCTTGGGCAAATATTTTTCTACCCTTTGGCTGAAATAGGTCATCTGCTCTTCTATTAGCCATGGCCTCAAATTAGGTTTGAGATAGTCTGCGCTGTGAAAGATCAGAATTTGTGTATTGCACCCGAGCCACTGATAACTGCCACAGGCTAGGAGTTCCGTTCAACATCCTCGAAGATACAAACTAAGATTAAACTCATTATTTTAACAGAGAAAAGGGAACATGGTTTGGGGTTCATTTAACATCACCATTTTCTATGTTGTCAGGAGGACTAATCATTTTAAGGCCAATTTGGCAGTTCTTACTCGTGAGAAACAAAACTCTGCTGAAATAAATGAAGGGCTTTGTATGTGTAAAAATGCTAGACTTCTTGAGGACAGATGAGAAGAAAGGGCCAAGACATTCCTTTGATTTAACAGAGGTAAAGGCTACTGTGGCTATTTTAAGTCCCTTAGTCCTATTCTGTTTTGTAACTGGGGAAACTGAGGTTTTCAAGGTAAACATATCTGAGGTCAGGGAACTGGAAAAGGGCAGAAATAAGACTAGGGTCCCAGTTATATGATGCTTAGTCTGAGTTTCCCACACTAGTGTGATTCTAAGAATCACCTGGGACAATAACTCAAATCATACGTCATAGTCTACCTCCCTGCTCTCATGCTGAACTACTGGCTCCCAGAGTTAGACCGGATTTTAAATTATGAAAAGCAAGTGTCTTTTCAAAGAATCTCCATGGAAGGGGGGCACATGGAGTTTTAAGAGGCACCTAAATGAATGGATGAGTTCAGATTATCCCATACAATGATGATCTCTAAGTTAACTGACTGGGGTCTCACCTAAACATGCTGGAGCCAACACTCCAATGGTGAGACCTGGAAGTAGATATTTTTAAATAAGGACCCCAAGTGTCCAAGTATAATGAAGTTAAACTGGAGACACTACTCTCTGCCATGGATTGAGAAGGCCTTCAACAGTGGCTGTATACATTTCCTCAGGAGTTTTGTATACAATGAAGATCCAAAGAGATTAACCCGATTTGGGCAGAGCATATCCAGTAACACTGGATCTCTAAAGGTCTCTAAAGTACATACGATGAAAAGAAGAAAAACAAGGGGGAGAAAAAGCAGTGACAAGAAGGAGCAGAACTCAAATTACTCTACCAAACTGAGCATTTACCAGTTATTTCTGACCCACCTTGTCCAACTATGGCTTCAGAACTTAGTACCAGTGAAAAACTTTTAAACGATTTCTTTTACACCAACTACAACATTCAGGTGGCGGGCAATATATGGCTCATTTCACCCCAATCGAAGAATTTCCCTACTTTTATTGTACTCTGTCACCATCTTAACATTCCTTACATGTGATTATTAAAGACTCTCTTGACATTTAAAGCAGACGCACACTAATACTCAGTCATAGTCTAGGAATTCTAATGCTCCCAGAGTAAGGCAGGATTTTAAATTATGAAAAATAAGTGTCGTGGTTTTCACAGAAGGACATGGAAGTGAGAAACCCAGAGACTCTCTCTCTTCTTTTTCTCGGCTCCGGTTACAAAGCAGTCGCAATATGCAACTACCATGCTGTTAGGACCTCTCTTTCCCCGACATGCTCAGGGCTGGTGCAGGGAGTATCAGGAGGCTCTGTGAGGCCGCTGGTATAGGAACTGTCCTGAGTATTGCCTCGAATAGGGTTAGACAGGGCCAAAGGGGGATACATTACGGATAATAAATTTGCTAAAGTCTAGGAGGCTGGTGTGATTACAAATAGCACCACT